CACAGCGTGACAAATGGCTGCCATGTGTAAGAGAGGTGGGAAAGTGAGCATTTAGTTTTTATAGCCTCCATAGTAAAGGAGGGTAAGTGAGAGTTTGCTATTAAATGTCAGGTGAGTCAGACTGGTGTCTGCCACAGGTGCCCTTCAGGTCTTCTAAAATATTCAGCTTATCTGTTTAAGTTATATTTGACCTGTTATCTCTAATGGGCTGCCTTAATGTATGCTCCTAGTTTATCATCACATTTTTAAAAAGCCTTTCTAAAAAACATACTCTTAATCTCTGTTTTTTTTTCTTTTACAAATGTACACATTTGTCTTGTGACATCAGTAAGGTGTTTAAAAAAACCACTTCCAAACTATCTACAGGCAAATAAATAAAACATTTCATTTTTAAAATCAACCAATGTTTGTATTTTATGCTAAATATAATTTTTTTTTTTGCAGATTTGATGAATATTTTTTTTTCATTTATTTTTATTAGTTGAAGGCTAATTACTTTACATCATTGCAGTGGTTTTTGTCATACAGTGAAATGAATTAGCCATGGATTTACATGTATTCCCCATCCCGGTCCCCCCTCCCACCTCACTCTCCACCCGATCCCTCTGGGTCTTCCCAGTGCACCAGGCCCGAGCACTTGTCTCATGCACCCAACCTGGGCTGGTGATCTGTTTCACCCTAGATAATATACGTGTTTCGATGCTGTTCTCTTGAAACATCCCGCCCTCGCCTTCTCCCAGAGTCCACAAGTCTGTTCTATACATCGGAGTCTCTTTTTCTGTTTTGCATATAGGGTTATTGTTACCATCTTTCTAAATTCCATATATATGTGTTAGTATACTGTAATGGTCTTTATCTTTCTGGCTTACTTCGCTCTGTATAATGGGCTCCAGTTTCATCCATCTCATTAGAACTGATTCAAATGAATTCTTTTTAATGGCTGAGTAATATTCCATGGTGTATATGTACCACAGCTTCCTCATCCATTCGTCTGCTGATGGGCATCTAGGTTGCCTCCATGTCCTGGCTATTATAAACAGTGCTGCGATGAACACTGGGGTGCACGTGTCTCTTTCAGATCTGGTTTCCTCGGTGTGTATGCCCAGAAGTGGGATTGCTGGGTCATATGGCAGTTCTAGTTCCAGCTTTTTAAGAAATCTCCACACTGTTTTCCATAGTGGCTGTACTAATTTGCATTCCCACCAACAGTGTAAGAGGGTTCCCTTTTCTCCACACCCTCTCCAGCATTTATTGCTTGTAGACTTTTGGATAGCAGCCATCCTGACTGGTGTGTAATGGTACCTCATTGTGGTTTTGATTTGCATTTCTCTGATAATGAGTGATGTTGAGCATCTTTTCATGTGTTTGTTAGCCATCTGTATGTCTTCCTTGGAGAAATGTCTGTTTAGTTCTTTGGCCCATTTTTTGATTGGGTCATTTATTTTTCTGGAGTTGAGCTGGAGGAGTTGCTTGTATATTTTTGAGATTAATCCTTTGTCTGTTGCTTCGTTTGCTATTATTTTCTCCCAATCTGAGGGCTGTCTTTTCACCTTGCTTATAGTTTCCTTTGTTGTGCAAAAGCTTTTAAGTTTCATTAGGTCCCATTTGTTTATTTTTGCTTTTATTTCTAAAATTCTGGGATGTGGGTCATAGAGGATCCTGCTGTGATTTATGTCGGAGAGTGTTTTGCCTATGTTCTCCTCTAGGAGTTTTATACAGGCCAATATCACTGATGAACATAGATGCAAAAATCCTTAACAAAATTCTAGCAAACAGAATCCAACAACATATTAAAAAAATCATACATCATGACCAAGTGGGCTTTATCCCAGGAATGCAAGGATTCTTTAATATCTGCAAATCAATCAATGTAATACACCACATTAACAAATTGAAAGATAAAAACCATATGATTATTTCAATAGATGCAGAAAAGGCCTTTGACAAATTCAACATCCATTTATGATTAAAACTCTCCAGAAAGCAGGAATAGAAGGAACATACCTCAACATAATAAAAGCTATATATGACAAACCCACAGCAAGCATCACCCTCAATGGTGAAAAATTGAAAGCATTTCCCCTGAAATCAGGAACAAGACAAGGGTGCCCACTCTCACCACTACTATTCAACATAGTTTTGGAAGTTTTGGCCACAGCAATCAGAGCAGAAAAAGAAATAAAAGGAATCCAGATAGGAAAAGAAGAAGTGAAACTCTCACTGTTTGCAGATGACATGATCCTCTACATAGAAAATCCTAAAGACTCTACCAGAAAATTACTAGAGCTAATCAACGAATACAGTAAAGTTGCAGGATATAAAATTAACACACAAAAATCTCTTGCATTCCTATACACTAACAATGAGAAAACAGAAAGAGAAATTAAGGAAACAATACCATTCACCATTGCAACAAAAAGAATAAAATACTTAGGAGTATATCTACCTAAAGAAACAAAAGACCTATACATAGAAAACTATAAAACACTGATGAAAGAAATCAAAGAGGACACAAACAGATGGAGAAATATACCGTGTTCATGGATTGGAAGAATCAATATTGTCAAAATGGCTATACTACCCAAAGCAATCTACAGATTCAACGCAATCCCTATCAAACTACCAATGGTATTTTTCACAGAACTAGAACGAATAATTTCACAGTTTGTATGGAAATACAAAAAACCTCGAATAGCCAAAGTAATCCTGAGAAAGAAGAATGGAACTGGAGGAATCAATCTGCCTGACTTCAGACTATACTACAAAGCCACAGTCATCAAGACAGTATGGTACTGGCACAAAGACAGAAATATAGATCAATGGAACAGAATAGAAAGCCCAGAGATAAATCCACGAACCTATGGTCACCTTATCTTTGACAAAGGAGGCAAGGATATACAATGGAAAAAAGACAACCTCTTTAACACGTGGTGCTGGGAAAACTGGTCAACCACCTGTAAAAGAATGAAACTAGAACACTTTCTAACACCATACACAAAAATAAACTCAAAATGGATTAAAGATCTAAATGTAAGACCAGAAGCTAAATATAATTTCTGAATTTGAAAAATTAAGATAGATTTATTTAGTTTTTTCCTCTCTTGCCAGAATATTTGATTTTTGTTCTCATTTTGACTCTTACAGAGTTGCTTTTTTTTTATTTAAGATTGTGAGCCAGTGAAAATTTTACTGAAGTTGAAGGACTTATGTGTATGAGTCTTTTGACTATCAACTGTCACATTCATAGATTCTTTTGCTTTATGAGCCCCATTTTTAATTGGTTGATTATTTATTTGAACTCTCTAAGCCCTTTTGGAGAAGGAAATGGCAACTCCAGTATTGTTGCCTGCTGGACAACAAAATCCCATGGACAGAGGAACCTTGCAGGCTACAGTCCACAGGGTCACAAAGAGGACACAACTGAGCGACCGAGCACGCATCACCCACCAAGCCCTTTGGGGAGCCTGGCCCGTTCTCCCAACACATTGGAAGTGCCTCGAGTGCTTTAGAAAGACTAGGATGATTTAGGGGGATTAAGTATGTGCCTCCATCCCAAGAGATGCTCTCTCTGCTCAGGACATGTTGACAGAAGTCCTGGGTGTGATGGTTAATGTTACTAGACATCAAACTGCCACAAAGGAGAGAAGTTCTTTTTCTTTTCTCTGGAAGTAATTTTTAACCAATCCTTTATATTGAATTATAAATACAGTGTTTATATTATACATAATTTGTAATTAAATATACAAAAGAGAACTCACTTTTGATGACTTATAATAATGGTGTCAACTATGATGTGGATAACCAGAAATTCCTTAAAATATTATGAAGATTTTATAGTCTCTTCATGAAATATTGGCCTTCTTAAAAAAAGCTTTGCCCAGTACTTATTTGTCTAGTCCTGTGCTAATATTCTTGGAGAGAGGGAGAGGAAGTGTGTCCAGGTGGAGCTGCTGGGGAAGGGGATTCATTTAGAGGGGCCCCAGTGAATGAGATTGTTTCCAGATTCCATGCAGTGTCCCAACAAAATGTGGAAGGTATCATCTGAGCTGACTTTGGAGACAGAACATTTGAGCTTTAATCCTTTATCTGGCACTTATGACTGAATAAATGAATGTATCACTTACTGAGCTGTCAGGGTGTTCATAGATATTTCCACAAATTAATCATTCTTCATCCAAGCCTATGAAGAAAGTGATCATCGTGAATCCCGATTTATAGCTAAGTGCTGAGTTGTGCCAGTGGAGTCCCTTGCCCGCGTTGACTCAGCTAATAAACGCTGGTGTCAGGATTCAGACTCAGGCAGCCTAACTCTAGAACCCCTGGACTCTTGGTCACTCTGCTAAACCATCTTGTAGAAATAGGGGTTTGTGGGGTGGAGTGGGGAGGAAAGAACGAGCAGTGTGTATGAAAAGCATGCTGTCCACGGCAGAACAACAAACTTGTTAATAGACGGTTAAACAAAAACTTGATTTCTTAGCTAGTTGGGGGCAAACTGTCCCCTTGTGACCATGTGATTCTCACCTCTGAGGAGTCCAGTTCAGATATGAGCCATTACAATTTCCTGCAGCCACTCTAACAAAGAGCCACAAACTTCATGGCTTAGAACAGCAGCGGTGTATTGCTTCAGAGTTCTGGAGGCTGGCAGTCCAAGATCAAGTTGTCAGCAGGGGCTCGCTACCTCTTGAGGTGCTGGGGAGGTCTGTGCAGGCCTGTCCCCTAATTTCTGGTGGTTTGCTGGCAATCTTAGACACTCCTTGGCTTCTGCCACCTCCCCCCAACCTCTGCCTTCATTCATCCTCACACGGTATTCTCCCTACTCTGTGAGTAGAATAGGGCCCACCCCCCAACTCTAGTATGATCTCATCCTTTAATTACATTTGCAAGACGTTTCTCCCCGAGTATCATCACACTCTGACATATCGGGGATTAAGACTTCAACATATGAAACTTGGGGAGATAGAGTTTAACCCCTAACACTTCACGTCCCCTTCTGGTTTCAGTGGCACCACGGCGAGTGGGGGCGAGAACGAGCGTGATGATCTGGAGCAGGAGTGGCAGCCCCCGGATGAGGAGTTAATCAAGAAGCTGGTGGATCAGATCGAGTTCTACTTTTCTGATGAAAACCTGGAGAAGGATGCCTTCCTGCTAAAGCATGTGAGGAGGAACAAGCTGGGATATGTGAGTGTCAAGCTACTCACCTCCTTCAAAAAGGTGAGGCTTCATTCTCAGGAGCTGCTCTGAGGGTTTCAGGAGTGCTGTGGGTTGTGATTCTAAATATTTTTTACCTCCTTGAAACTGATAACTAACAACTTTTTATTTCCTCTGAGCCCTGAAAAAGAGGGAAAAAATGATCAAGAGAAGGGAATTAGGATCATTATTAAGAATGTCCTCCCAGAAACTACCTTGATGGTCCAGTGGTTAAGAATCTGTCTTCCATTACAGGGGACATAGGTTCAATTCCTGGTTGGGGAACTAAGATTTCACATGCCACTGGGCAAGTAGCCTGTGCTCTGCAACTAAGATCCTTCACAACCAAATAAATAAATAAAAAGAAAAGAATGTCCTCCTACACTGTTGAAAGGGTCCTGGGTATTGAGATAAATCTCAGCCGGTAGCAATTATGACATGACAGTACTTGTTCTTAGCAAAGTTCAAGGACTCTTGCTGGGCAAGTGGGTGGCCTGGAGGATGCTTTGCCAGGACAGGGGGACTCAGAGGCCTTGAGAGACACCTACCAGGCCTTGTTGTTGTTCAGTCGCTAAGTTTTGTCTGACTCTTTGCAGCCCTGTGAACTGTAGCATGCCAGGCTTCCCTGTCCTTCACTGTCTCCTGGAGTTTGCACAAGTTTATGTCCATTGAGTCGGTGATGCTGTCTAACCATCTCATCCTCTGTCTCCCCCTTCTCCTTTTGCCTTCAGTCTTTCCCAGCATCAGGGTCTTTTCCAATGAGTTGCCTCTTCGCATCAGGTGGCCAAAGTATTGGAGCTTCAGCTACCAGGCCTAGAAATACATGAAATCTAAGCTTTTCATTTGTGGAATTGAGTAAATAAGAGGTTCAGGGAGCTCTGGGAGATGGGCCTTCTCCAAGACTCCAGCCAGCTTTGCTGTGTAATGCCAACATCCTCATCTATTTCTCTGCTGTATAGATCCAGCAACTGGGTTGTGCCTTTCCTACTTGTTGATGAGTTGACAGGCCAGTTGGAGTAAGAACTCGGTGTCTCCCTTGGGGGAAGTGTATTTACTCGAATGGAAAAACCCATGTGGCCTGTTGCATAACGGGATGTGTAACGAGTGGGTCCCAGCCCATTTGCCAGTGTACTTGGTTAGAGAGCCTGGAGGAGGGCTTTCCTCCCAGAGTTCTTCTCTGCCTTGCCTGTTAGAATTCTCTGCCTTCTTCTCTTGATCTCTTTCCTTTATTCATTCACCAAACATATTTATTCTATGTGCTGAGTGCAATGTTAGGCATAGGATATACAGAATGAATGTGGCATTCTCCGTGCCCTGGCAAAGTCCAATCAGAGAGAGAGACCAGTGAAGGATCACAATATGACCATCAATAGATCACATCAAGAGATCACCATCAATGTATTCACAGTAGACCATCAACCTGCAACAGAAGGAACAAAGTACTGTTTGGAGCTAATTGATCTGAACAGCTAACCCTGCTGGGAAGATTGAAAAGCCTTCCCAGAATTGGTGACGTTGAAATAGGATCTTGGAGGATGAGTAGGCATTTTCAAGGTATAGGAGAAGAGAAGGGGCATTTCAGGCTATGAAGGAAAGCCTACCCTGCCTCCTCACAGTACTTCTGCCACCAGATATGAAGGAGGTTTCCCCACACCAAGCAATTCTGCTACATCAGCTGGACCTCCTGTGGTCTGACTCAGTTCTGGCACCATATGCTTGGAGATAGCATCAGGTCTCACAGGTTCAGGATTCTGCACCCCTCTTCAGGTGCCAGTCACAAGTAGTACCTCCCCAGAATCTACAACTTCTGTGCAACCTGGTTACAAATCAGAGGTTTTGATGACCCTTTGGCTTGGATTATTTGCTACAACAGCACACAGAACTTAGGAAAAAGCTTAATTATATTTACCAGTTTATTAAAGAATATGGTAAAGGATACAGATGAACCTCCAGATGCAGAGACACATAGGGAAGGGTCTGGGGGGGTCCTGAGTGTAGCAGTTTCTGTCCCCATGGAACTGGGCTATGACACCCTCCTGGTAGGTTGGATGTGTTCACCAGCCTAGAATCTCTCCAAACCCTGCACTTTTGGAATTTTTATTGGCCCTTCATCAAGTAGTCATGATCAGTTATAACTGCAGTTCCTGCCCCTCTCCCCTCTCTGAGAATGGCAGGCAGGGCTAAAGCTTCCAAGCTTCAAATCACAACTGGTCTTTCTGGTGACCAGCCCCGCCCCATCCAAGAGCCCACCCAGAGTCACCTTATTAGAACAGAAGATGCTCCTGTGCCCTTGTTGTTTAGTCACTGAGTCACTGCCAACCCTTTTGGGACCCAGTGGACTGTAGCCAGGCTCCTCTGTCCATGGGATTGCCCAGGCAAGAACACTGGAGTGGGTTGCCGTTTCCTTCTCCAGGGGATCTTCCTGACCCGGGGATCGAGCCCAGGTCTCCTGCATTGCAGGGGGATTCTTTACCACTGCACCCTCTGGGAAGCTCCTTCTTGTGCTCTTATCACTCAGAAATTTACAAAGGTCTTAGGAGCTAGTACCAGGGATGAAGACCAAATAAACATATTTCTCAGTATAAATCACAGTATCACACATGTCCAGAGAACAGTGAGCAAGCCCTCACATCAAAAATGTCTGTGGGGGACCCCGAAATGGAGCAATCAGTGGAATCATCCTGTACCTTCCTTTTTTCCTCCACAGGGACTCTTAAAGTGAGCCTAATTTTGTTTCATGCTTCCCACATAGCTCAGTCAGTAAAGAATCTGCCTGCAATGCAGAAGACCTGCGTTCAATTCCTGAGTTGGGTAGATACCCTGGAGAAGGACTTGGCTACCCACCCCAGTATCCTTGCCAGGAGAATCCCAAAGACAGAGGACCCTGGCAGGCTACAGTCCGTGGGCTCACAAGAGTTGGACACAACTTAGCGACGTACTTGACTTGTATTTTGTTTCACTTTTAAGCTGCTACTTAACTGGATCTGTTTAGGAGAGTTCTCCTCTGTTGAAAACTGGCTGCAGAATAGACACAGACTCCCCGACACCTCCAAAATGACAGCAAAGACCTTTTTCATTCTCAAAGATTTCCTGCTGCTCATAATAGGAAGCATATATGACAAAGGTAGGGGCTTCCCAGGTGGCACTAGTGGTAAAGAACCCACCTGCCAATGCAGGAGATGTGAGAAATGCAGATTTGATCCCTGGATTGGAAAGATCCCCTGGAGGAGGGCATGGCAACCCACTCCAGTGTTCTTGCCTGGAGAATCGCATGGACAGAGGAGCCTGGTAGTCTGTGGTCCATAGGGTCGCAAAGAGTCAGACATGACTGGAGCAACTTAGCTTGCACACGCATTGCAAAGGTACTAACAGGGCAATCACAGAGTTTCAAAAAGTCTTACCAAGCTCTAGTAATTGCACAAAGACGGCAGCTGCCTGGTTCCTCTTCCCAGCTTGTACCCAGACACTGCTTCTCCAGGCTCACAGACCCAGGCCTGGGATGCTCAGTCCTAACTGAGGTTTTCCAGTGGCCCTGACTCCTGGCTTCCAGCAGCAGGTGCTGGGTCCTGCTTCTCTCTGGGTTGGCCCTGGTCTTCCAGCAGCTTCTCCAGCCCTCTAAGGCCAGGTTGCCGTGCCCCCCAACACTCCTTGCCCAGTCGTCCCCTCCTCTCCTGAGTGCTTCCCCCCTGAGCGGCATAGAAAAGGCTGCCCTGTGTTTCACCCCCGCAGAGCCACTGTGGGTGTCCCATGACCCAGAACTGTCCCTTGATCATCTTCTTCATGTTTTCTGGGTCCCTCACTGACTGTCCACCTGAAGTCCAGCCCTTTGCCTGGATCTGCTTCTCTCTGCCCTTGGCTCGTGCCACAGTGATCAGCCCTGAGTCTGTGTGTAGGTGACTTACGATTCTAGAACCCCAAGCCCCAGTCTGGGCCGTTTCACCCAGAGGCCACAGGACAGTGGACGGTGCCCTCTCCACAGGAGCTTGGCAGTACCAGTTCCCACACCTGCCCTGTTTGGGAGCCCTCCCTTCTTCATTCCGGGAAGTTCTGTTTGAGTCAGGGTGCCTCTGCCCACTGTCTGCACTGGCTCAGGTTACCCACCCCACCCACCTCCACTGGCTCTTTGGGATGACTCATTCTCCATGGCATTCCCTTTCCCGGAAGTGGGCCTCTTGAAAATTACTGTTTTACAGTATAAATATAGCTTCCCTGGGCTGTAGCACTGATACACACAATTTCCACTAAAAGAAGAGGAGTGAGGGACTGTTTCATCATTCTCCTCGACACCCAAGTAGGATTTAATTCCTAGTCGAAACAGCCCACATCATTTTTAGGAGGTATTGAAAGATCTTGGCACCTTCTGTGTATTAAATGCAGAAATATCACTTCAGAGAAGGATTCAAATGTTAAAATCTCCAGATCCTGTCAAAATGGTAGCATGTAATATTTGAAATATGGATACCACATAATATTTATTGACTACTCTGTGAGCTGGACACTACCCTAAGTTTTATATAAATGTGTATCTGGGTGTAGATATGTATATATTTCTCTGTTCATTTAATTCTTATGACAGTTCTATGAGGTGGGCAATATTAATATCTCCATTTTACAAATGAGAAAGTTGAGGTACTGAGAGAGTGAGTAAGTCTTTAGGTCTTACTGCCAGTCAGAGGTGGACCTTGGAATTTTGTATCCAATAGACTTGTTTTGGATTTAACCGCTCAACTTGCCCAGAATAGAATATTTCCATCACCTCAGAAAAACCTGTTGGACATCACTGCTCTAAGCCATACTGCCTTGTTCATAGTTATAGAAAGTGTGTTCGTTCACTCACTAGGTCTTTGAGTGCCTGCACACACCAGGTGTGATCCCAGACACTGGTGTTGCCGGGGTAAGGAAAGGAGGGAGGGAGATTAGAGAGGACGCCAGGAGGACAAGGACAATAGGTACCACTTCCGATTTGCTCTGTGTTCTTCAGGTGAAGCACCTTACCCGGGACTGGAGAACCACAGCTCACGCCTTAAAGTACTCAGTGACCCTGGAGTTGAACGAGGACCACCGGAAGGTGAGGAGGACCACCCCTGTCCCACTCTTCCCCAATGAGAACCTCCCCAGCAAGATGCTCCTGGTCTATGACCTCTACCTGTCCCCCAAGCTGTGGGCCCTGGCCACCCCCCAGAAGAACGGAAGGGTTCAGGAGAAGGTGATGGAACACCTGCTGAAGCTCTTCGGGACCTTCGGAGTCATCTCGTCAGTGCGAATCCTCAAACCCGGGAGAGAGCTGCCCCCTGACATCCGCAGGATCAGCAACCGGTACAGCCAGGTGGGGACCCAGGAGTGTGCTATCGTGGAGTTCGAGGAGGTGGAAGCGGCCATCAGAGCCCACGAGTTCATGGTCACAGAGTCTCAGGGCAGGGAAAGCATGAAAGCTGTCCTGATCGGCATGAAGCCACCCAAAAAGAAACCATCCAAAGAGAAGAGCCAGGACGAAGAACCCACCTCGAGCGTCCACCTGAACAAGTCCCTCAACAGAAGGGTCGAGGAGCTGCAGTACATGGGGGACGAGTCTTCCGCCAACAGCTCCTCTGACCCTGAGAGCAATCCGACATCCCCTATGGCTGGCCGGCGACATGCGGTTGCCAACAAGCTCAGCCCTTCCAGCCACCAGAATCTCTTTCTGAGCCCCAATGCCTCCCCGTGCTCAAGTCCTTGGAGCAGCCCCTTGGCTCAGCGCAAAGGGGTCTCCAGGAAATCCCCACTGGCCGAAGAAGGGAGGCCCACCACAAGCGCCAGTCCTGAGATCGTTCGCAAGTGCACGGACTATTCCTCGGACAGCAGCGTCACTCCCTCTGGCAGCCCCTGGGTTCGGAGGCGCCGTCAAGCTGAGATGGGGCCGCAGGAGAAGAGCCCCCGAGGGAGTCCCCTGCTCTCTCGGAAGATGCAGACTGCAGATGGGCTACCGGTGGGGGTGCTGAGGTTGCCCAGAGGCCCTGACAACACCAGAGGGTTCCATGGTGGACACGAGAGGAGCAGGGCCTGTGTATAAATACCTTCTAATTTTAATACCAGCTCCACTGAACATTGCCTTTGTTTTCAAGGTCCTGACAAATACCTGGCATGACATTGAATGAAATTCACATCCCCTTGGAAAGATTTTGTATACCTGTAGACCTCTTAATTTATATATTTGTAATATATATGAATTGCCTGGTATGCTCTGGTTTTAAGACCATCTTCTAGTTCAGAACACCCATCCCTCCCAGCATGACCATTATTTTGATAATGCCCAACTTGTGTGAATGGCTCTTGCACGGCTCTGGGACAGAGGCTGCCCAGAGAGAGCCTAGCAGTGGGTCTTTTCTTTGGGGCAGGATTCTGCTCTCCAGTGACTGAGCTGTCTTCAGTTGGCTGTGCAAGGGATTCCTGAATGCCCAAAGGAGTTCTGTTGTACAACAGCAACTAATTAAGCCAGTAGCATGGTGTTTTATATGACCAAATGTATGTTTCCTGTCAAGTGAATAAATAATAAAACACCTAACTGGGAGTGCTGGCTCTGAACCCATAGGCTGTGCCTAGTGGAATCTGTGTGCATCTGACAAGGCATGGGTCGTGTCATGAGGCTCCGAGGAGCTTAACAGAGACACATTTCCTGAATGTGCCCCAGAGCTCTCCTTGGGGCTCCTGGAAGCCTGAGAGGTCAGCAGAGTTTTTGCAGATGTTCAGTCGCTGTCATGTGCCCGACTCTTTGTCATCCTATGGACTGCAGCACGCCAAGCTTCCCTGTCCTTCCCCATCTCCCAGAGCTTGCTCAAACTCATGTCCTTTGAGTCAGTGATGCCATCCAACTATCTCATCCTCTGTCACCCCTTCTCCTGTCCTCAACCTTTCCCAGCATCAGAGTCTTCCAGTGAGTCAGTTCTTCACATCAGGTAACCAAAGTATTGGAGCTTCAGTTTCAGTATCAGTCGTTCCAATGGATATTCAGGGTAGACCCCCACAGTCTCTCATCACAATGAATTATACCCATCAAAGGCAGCTTAATATAGTTCACATTCTCTAGATGTGGTGCCCAGACCAGCAGCATTGATGTCATCTGGGAACTTGCTAAGAATGCAAATTCTCAGGCTCTACCTCAGGCTGGCTGAATCAAAAACTCTGGGAGAGCAGCTATACAACAATAAAAATCTTTTTAAAGATGGTACACACTTTCAGTTATAAGCTATATAAGTCCTGGGGGTGCAATGTCCAGTCTGGTAACTGTAGTTAGTAATAAACCCTGTTGTATATTTCAAAGTTCTTAAGACTGTAGTAGTAGGATCAGAGCCATATTTCCTTCTTAGGGATAAAACTCATTTTTAATTTCAGAAGTGAAAGGAAAAAACCCATAAAAATCCCTGGAAGAAGGGCTTGTTATCTGAATTTTAGCAAGCCATCCAGGTGACTCTGATCCATACTAGAATTTAAGAGTGACTGGCATAGACAGTGGTTGTGGGCCTTGAGGTCAGACAGTCTGACTCCCATATTCCCAGCTAACTAGTTCTGTGACATTAAGAGAGTTACTCACCCCTCCTCGGCTCATAATATCCCTATGAAGTGCTTTGCCTTGGTATCAGTGTCTTGAGATGGAGTTGGTCCTCCATCAATGTAAGCTCGTTTTCAGTGGAAGCTGCCACAGTGTAGCAGAAAGAGTGTGGTGCTAGATTCCAGTGTTGGCGAATCCACTTGCTATTGGGGTATTTTAGGAAGTCATCCTTAATGAAATTTGTCAACAACTATTGAACAGCGATTGGATGCCAGGGACTATGCCAAGAGCTTTTCATGCTTTATCTTATTTAATCTTCCCAACCACCATACAAGAAAGGTTCACATGTTGCTTCCCTGCTGGCTCAGAGGTTAAAGCATCTGTCTGCAATGCGGGAGACCTGGGTTCGATCCCTGGGTCAGGAAGATCCCCTGGAGAAGGAAATGGCAACCCACTTCAGTATTTTTGCCTGGAAAATCCCATGGACTACAGTGAGCTACAGTCCATGGGGTCGCAAAGGGTCGGACACGACTGAGCGACTTCACTTTCACTGGAAGCTCTGTGTGGGTAACTAACTTGTCCAGGGTTTAAGGACTAGATGATTGGGGGAGCTGGCTTGAAGCTAGCAGTCTGGTTCTGGAGCCCACACTCTTCACCACCAGATGGGACTCAGCATGTGGGACCTCACCATCCACATCCCCAAAAGAAGCAACCACCAAGGGAGCTAATATGTATTCAGCACCTTCTATGGGCTAGGCAGGCTTCCCAGATGGCACAGTCGTAAAGAATCTGCCTGCCAATGAAGGAGACACAAAAGACACGGGTTCAGTCCCTGGGTCAGGAAGATTCCCTGGAGGAGCAAACAGCAGCCCACTCCAGTATTCTTGCCTGGATAATCTCATGGATAGAGGAGCCTGGTGGGCTACAGACCATGGGGTTGCTAAGAGTCAGACTGAGCACAGCACAGCATGTGCTGGGCGTTTAGCTGGACACATCCTTTCATTTATCCTCTGTGTCTCCATGAAGTATTATTATACCAGTTTTACTCATGAAGCTGCTGTGGCAGGATAATGCCTCAGGCCACTGTGAAAATGGAAAAAGAGTATATTTTTAATTATACAGCTCGATACAAGTTAGCAGGTGATTGTTATCTGGTTAGTAAGAGGATATATCCCTAAGTTTCCAGAAGAATTCCTATTAACTGGTAAATGCCTCCAGAAATTACTCAGATTTGCTCTTTCAACCACAGCTGAGGTGGCCCAAGACCCATATCTGGAGCTCAGGCCACCAGGCTTTCTGGACGGTGCCACACCAGGTCCTGCCCTGGGCTTTGTCTCTTACCTTCAACCCCACTCACCGCCTCCCTGGCCTTTCCCATCACCCCCTGACAATGGGACACCTGGACTTCACCAAGTATGTCTGGCCTGGCTACATTCCCAGTGTCCCACCCCTTTACGCCCTGGCCACAGCTGCAGCTCTTGTTTTAAGATTTGCTTCTGTGATCATTACTACTTTAAAAGGTACCTACCCTCTCACCTTTTTATGTGAATACAGATGAGCTTGGCCTTCCTTCTGTGGCATTCCCCTGTGTGGCCTTATGAAAGAACTCTGGACTGGACATCAGCTGATCTGGATTCTAGTCATGGCTTTTCCAGTCAGTAACTGTTTGACCTTGAGCAAGTCATTTCTCTTTTTTGAGTCATGGTTTCCCCTTCCAACTTGTAGATAATGAGACGATACTCCTTAAAAAAGGCCATAAGGCCATGTATGTGAAAGTGTCTTATGAATTGAAAAGTACTTGATAGATGTTAGTGATTTCCCTGCTCTCTGATCATCTCCAAAGATGAATCCTCCTCCTGTGCTCTGGTGCTTAATTCAAGTCTCACATGGGAGTTACCTAAAGAGCTTTTCAAAACTGCCTGTGCCCACCCTGACATAGGCTGATTTTAACTGGATCTGGGGTGCAGCCTGGGCGTCAGTGGTTTTTAAATCTCCCTGGGTGATTCTGAAGAGTGGGCAGTGTTGAGAAGCACTGCTTCATTGGAACAAGGAGAGGACTTGGGATAAATTGACAGAGTCTCAGAGACACTGATCCCTCCCCCTTATTCAAGGTTGGGGTGTGGTCTCCTTCATAGGCCTCTCTGCAGCCCAGAGACCCTGAGCACCTTGCTGATGAACCTGACCTTCCCAAATTTCTGGCCAAACCTTCAGCTGGGGCATGGGCTTCCTGTTTGTGAGCATAGCAGGACTTTCTGGAATAGTTTGACCAGGGAAGTCAGCCAACAGCATTTTTACAGATGTTTCGTACTTTTAATGAAGACCAGCGCCCTCTCCAAACTGGGACCTGAAGCCTGCTGTACATCAGCACTCGAGGTGCTGGCTTGTTCAGCTGCTCAGTTGTGTCGGACTCTTTGTGACCCCATGGACAGTTGCCCACCAGGCTCCTCTGTCCATGGGATTTCCCAGGCAAGAATACTGGAGTGGGTTGCCATGCCCTCCTCCACGGGATCGTCCCAGATCAGGGATCGCATCTGCATTGGCAGGCAGATTTCTTTATCACTGAGCCACCAGGGAAACCCAAGGTGCTGGCAGAACATCCAGATTCCTCACATGTCCAAAGCGTCGCCTTGTCTGCCCTCCTCCCACCCCCACCGACCCCACACACTGCCACCTGCTGCTCCTGACTGCCTATGTCAGCCAGTGACATCCCTGTCATCTATGTCCCCCAGACTGGAGAAGAGACTCTGCAATGTGATAAGCAGAGGTTCTAGACTCTCATAACCCGAGTTCAGATCCTAGTCACTTTGACAAGTGACTTAGCCTCTATGTGCCTCAATTTCCTGTCCCAGGAAAAGTGGATGATAATTCCTACCTCCAATTTGGCATAGTTAAATGAGTCAATTCCCATAAAATGCCAACTATCTTGCACATGTGAAAGTCACTCAGTCGTGTCCGACTCTTTGCCAGCCCATGGACTGTAGCCCACCAGGCTCCTCTGTCCGTGGAATTCTCCAGGCCAAAATACTGGAGTGGGTAGCTGTTCCTTTCTCCAGGGAATCTTCCCAACCCAGAGACTGAACCCAGGTCTCCCGCATTGCAGGTGAATTCTTTATTTTCTGAGCCACCAGGGAAGCCCATAGTGAATGGGCACATAGTAAATGCTCAAAGAATGTGAGGTCATCATGTTTATACCTTCTTCATTTCTTCCCCATATTCAATCAACAACTCAGAAACTTAGCTCCATCCTTGAAATGTTCCTTACATGTTCTTTCCCTTCCCACATGCTTACTTACATCCACATACCCTCCTCCCTGTCTTCAATCACCGTCTTTAATCTATCCCCCATCGTGCCACCAAACCCATCTTACTAAAGGAGAGTTCTGTTTGCATAATTTTCCTACTTAAAAAATTGCTTGCTGCCCCTTTCCTGAACATAGACTAAGGGCTGAACTGCCTCAACTTCCTGCCATGTGTTTCATCTTGGAGGGAAGTCTCTTATTGTTAGCTTGGTTGATCCACAGTCT